CTGTACCGGTGGTCGTATCCATACCATCTAAACTGTAAGGGCCGACTCAGCATTCACTACCATTGCGGGCGTGTCGAATGTTTGGTAGAGGGGTCTGGTTTCGGAAAGCGGCCATGGTCTGCCGATGTTGTTCCCATTCCAACCAACGAATTGCTTTGTTGGACTGTTGTCGAGGCTGGAAGCGATGCCAGTCTTTACCCGGTTTCGGCTCTTGCATCAGGGCTCGAGGAATGACGACGAGGGTGTCTTTCTTTAGGTAGTGTGGGCGTAGTACGCGACTGCAGGCAGACGCCAAGGTCAGACTCTTCTCTAAGGGATCAATGCCCGTGTCCATGAGGAATATCTCGCGAAACACACCACAACATCGGCGCAAGACATTTCCTGACGAAAATCAAAGACATCGTGACTGTGCTGTTCGTACCACTCGTGAAACTTCCCTCGTTCCGATACACTCATACCATCTGGATCGTAATCGGTGTCGGGAGGATAGGCGCCCACGTAATTTTCATTCTCCGGTCTGTTGAAGTGGTGAGGGAAATAACCTTTCTTGAGTTCTTGCAGGCCAAAGGTCTTGGGCATGTCCCGTAAAGGCATGGGTAGAAAGTTGAGGGAATCGATGAATTTTACCGTGCCGACAGCGATCGTCATCGCTTTACCACTATTCATAATCACTCCGAGTTGCGCCACGGAATGTTTGTGCAGCGTCTGTAAAATCAGCAGTCCGTCGTAATCTTTGAAATTGTGCGCCACGGCGATCACGGGACTCGATTCGTGATTGTCATTTTTCCGACCATCTACCACCGTACCGTGAGCAGCGAGTTGTAAAGACCATTTTCCCACATCGTCCAGCGTGTCTTGACCTTTAAAAACAATTTCTCGCTGGTGATTCCAATATTGGTCGCAGTGCTCGCAGGGTTCTTGATTATCGAGACAAAAGTGACAGCACGCTTGCAGAACACATAGGTTGGGAATGTGCTCACCGGAATCTTGTTGGCATTCAAAGTCAAAGAAGACGAAGCGGGTCAGCGTTGTTTTCTGCTGTTTGTCGATTTGTGTCTTCCTGTCTCAGTTCATGTTTTCTGCTGTTTGTCGATTTGTGTCTTCCTGTCTCAGTTCATGTCGATGGGTGATTTCAGCGGTTGAATGTAACAAAACTGTTTTTCGGCCGTGTGCCACTCTCGGCAGATGGAGCACTCGTATTCTCCGCATCGATGTTCTTCCAAATTTCGCTTGGCCTTGATGACGTCCCACTCCTTTGGACATTTTTCGCATTTCTTCCACCGGTGACATATACTGCACTTGGCTCTGGAACGGGTAGCGAGATGGTTGTCGAAACACTGTCGGCTCATAAACACACGATGACATCGGTAACACGTCTTTGTATTGGGATCGGGTGGACAGGCTGGACCTACTTTCTTGCAACCTTGACACATGACGTGACACGAATGTTTCTCGGTACCATTGTATCCCACCTGACAGGTCTCACAAAAATACGATCTTTCCACAAAGGCGGGCATGGAGGTAATGACGTCATAATGTCTGCTGTGTAAATACAGGTTCAGATGTTTTGGTGTTCCGGTGACGTATTTTGTTCCGCGATAGATCGCCTTACCAAAGATGACTTGAGAGAAAACGTTGAGTTGGTATCCTTGTTGGCCCAAATACTTGGCATACAGTTCCCACGTTTCCATCCCCGTGCAGGCTTCCCTGGTTCCACCCACGGCCTCGATGAGGTCCTGCCCTCCTCTGTAATCTGTTCCTCTCTCTTTCCCATTCAGGTGTGTCCTGTTTGTTGGCATAGTGACGAGCGACGACAATGGCTCGCTGAAAACATAATTCGTCGGCATTCTTGATGGTAACGAGGCATCTCTTTTTCTTTAAATACTCGTCGAAATTAGCACTGCCATCCGGAAGTGACACGTGACAGATATTCATAGACATGCGCTGATCCATTCGAAATTCTTCATTACTCTGTAATACGGCAGCCACTTTCTATAAAACGTCTTCGGCTTTTAACAAACGATGCTCAGGGAACGGTAACCAAATAGGTGATTTAAGTCCTGGGTGACTGATGGCTATTCTAACGTAGTCACTTTCTCTGGCGTCCAAGGTTTGACGAATTTCCTCAATGATGGCTTCAAAGGTGTCGTGTAATTGCTTTGGTACATCTACGGTCGGAACGTGGGACCAATCCTCCAAAAAGTCTATGTCCACACATAGCGACTCGGTTCTAAACAATCCACTGTATCTTCTATCGACGGGTCGTAATGAAAAACTCATCTTGCTCGGTTCGGTGAAAGTGTCAGAACCTATCGCGCCGCTCCCTTTTATCCCCCTTATGCCGTGACGTCATCAAACGTTCGATATCGTACACCCCACGTGATATAACGTTGCACATGCGTTGTATAACGTTGCATCACGTCTATTTTTAGCTTCTAACGTTCAATCTACGATGCATCACGTTATGCTAAGCACCGTGACGTCATTCCATGAATGGACTCGTGGGCTTTTCTAAGTTTTTGAAACTTGTGCTCAATCCTTTTGATATTTGTCAATAAAATATGTTTAAACAAAAAAAAAAAAAAAAAAATGGACTCGTCTGTGACGTCATACCTCTCAAATGGATTAGTCCTTACGGTAATAAAACGACACACCATCCCTCTCTCAGTATCAGAATGGGTGACGGCGCTCCGATCATCCGCCTCGAGAAAAACCCCAGCGTAGATACCCTCGTGTATCTCAGGGGTAATACTCTTGCCGTGATTACCCCTGACGATATCTTTGTCTTACCTGACGAGGTATTAAAAACACCTCCCAGGAAAAGACCCCTCCCGAATTAGTGGAGACCATCCGACGCAACCGACATAAAGTGCGTCGTACCCTCACATTCTAGTGAGGACAACGGCCCTTTTCAGGGCCAACTTATGCAATGTAAAAGGAGTTGTTTCCCCTTCCTTTGGTCTTCCTCCCCCTCCTCTCCCCCTTCTTCTTCTGCTCTCTTCTTTCTTCTGCTCTCTCTCTCTCGCGCGCGCCCCTCTCTTTTCTAGGTCACGGGGTCACACACGTGCAAGGGGTCACACACCTGCAAGGGGTCATTCAGTGCAAGGTCACGCACGTGGAAGGTCAAGGTCACATGTACGCACATTCACGCGCATGCACAGCACGTGCGTCCCTATATAGGCCCCCATACTACTGACGATATGATAATTTCACTGGTTGATGGTTGTAAATACTTGCAGGTCGGGGTTTTGGCCTAAATTAATCGATTTATTAGATATATTATTTGACAGAGATTATAATCAGATATGCCACCAAATCGCATATTTGGGGTTCATTTTTCAAAATGTTCCCGGGGATGAGTCCCCGGACCCACCGTCCGGACTCCGCGGTCAGTAAAAGGGGCCGCTCCGACACGGGAGCCCGGGCCGGTAGCCGGCCCCAATCCGCCCCTGAGTGGGGTCGCCTGTCCAACCTCGTGGGTTTTCTCCCATGGCTAGAGACCCTTACGTGCAAGCGAATCATTGAAATAAAATCGAACCATATGTTAGTCCTGAAATGACCTAGTTTGTGTCAAGTGGACATTAAACTCCATTTCTCTCTCTCTCTTTAATAAACTTGTTTGCTTCTTACAAATGTTAAATTTGTCTTGAATCTCATGACAGAACATTCCGATCACGTAAAAGTGGTACAGCAGCGTGATAGATTTCTCTAAGCCGACATCAATCCGAGTTTGACGTTCAGCAACACCGGTAATTGGTACTCCCACTGGCAGTCAATGAAAACTACTTCCAGTCACTTTGAATGGGATCGGCGCATGATGAACTTCAGATCATGGAAATCCAATCATTATTGGCAGAGATAGCCATGGACTCAGTCAGAGGGGGTCCCAATTTCAAAAAGTGGGCAATGGGTTGGAAAAATTTGAACCTGGACATTTTAAGATCGCTTGGTTCCAAATCAACCCAAAATACAAATTGTGCGGGATGACAGTGCAAGTGTCCAGCACTAAGGCATATGAATAATGGAACATTTCTTCAAACATCAGTGCTGTTCTGCACAGACCTATTATATTCAACAAAGGGAGAATGCCATAATTAATGTTCTCTTTTGTTTTACTTTCTTCTGTGAATGACTGTATTGATGAGCTCAACTGTATTGATGAGCTCGCAGTCTCTGGAAACTCATTAGCAGTAAATTTGGGCAACAAAATCTTTAGTTCTAGTTTGTATCTAAACCAACAGTAAAGGGGCAACATCTCATCTACGGCAGTGTAATTTTCTGATGGAGAACATCCTGTTGTGAGAAGCTCTTTGGACCAGGATGTCTATAGAAAACTGTCCCTTAATCCACCCTGACCGTACCCAAGTATTTGTCCCCAGCTATTATATATGGATTGTGGCTGATATACCCCATAATGAATTATATTTATTAACTGATCATGTGTGTTTCAGTAAAGCCTCGAGCAATCAAACTTAAGCTATTTTCATTATTGAACGAAGTCAAGGTATATAATGAAACTCTCACTCATTTAGAATCAGTTATTGTGTCCCAAAGCATTATCAAATCAAATTGCTTATCTCTACTTAGATTTAGCCGACTTATAATCATCAAACTCGATTATACATCACCAATTGAACATCTACAGGTTTCAAAGTTTAGTCCTTTGTTAGAAATAGAGATATTGTGCTCCAAAGTCTTGATGAATCAAACTGCTTATCACTAGTTTGCCTAAGCTTATCCCTTAAAGTAGCTTTTTATTCTGCCCCAAACAAAGTTGGGAATGATATTGAAATGGGTCTTGCCTGTCTGTCCCATTTTTGTTTCAAGAGTATTTCTCATAAGCTGTTCCAAAATATGTTTCTGAAACTTGGTACACACATCAACCGATATAGTAGTTGTGAGGTTTGCTAATTAATTGTAATATGTTTTTCCACCTATATAAATTTGATTCTTTCCACTATAATCTGGTAGCTGGTCAATAAACCCAATCTTTATATAAATAGTTTATTTACAAATCACGTATACAACTATATACATAAATCAATATCAAAATATATACAATTTATATCTAACTCTATACATATTATAATCCAAATAGTGTGCATAGGCTAAACACAGAGTGCTCGATAAATAAATTCAGAGCAAATATAAATAATTAAAAATATGAAATCTGTAAGTTCTTTACTTAAAGTTTCATGTGGTACTCCACACTCATCAGAAGAAAAATACAAAATCTAGTATTTTTCTTCTGATGAGTGTGGAGTACCCCATGAAACTTTAAGTAAAGAACTTACAGATTTCATATTTTTAATTATTTAACTCTATACATATATATTCAATACTTTAATCTGATCTGACCTCAAGAGGTTAAGCTCCTTTAAAGTAGCAGTATTATTATTAACAGTAACATAAATCTTTGCATGGATTCAAAAAACATAATCTGATATGGTCATCTACAAAGTTCCACTTTTCTCGATACTTTGAACACTTAATCATTGTGTGGGACTTAAATTTTTAAATTCATGTACATCAACAATTAATATGATTAATTGCGGTGTTATTGTGACAATTGGTTAAATTGGCTTGCAAAGACCTGTTGCATCATTAACTTGCTTATTAACCTGTTGGTGCCATTAACCTGCTTTTTGACCTTTGGAAGCCATTAGCTGTATTTCCTGGACCTAGACTACACATTGGGCCTTTATTTAGACTCTAGACTAATAATTGTATTAATACAACCTCTCTTCACCTTAGAGTCGGGGGCACAGTAGTTGAGTGATCAGGACACTGCTCTCATGACCAGAATGCTCCATATTTGATTCCTGGTATGGGCGAGAAGGAACTTCAGGGATTGCATCTGTGAGGCTGACAATTAAAGAGAGAGAGAGAAATGGGGTTTAACGTCCACTCAACACAAACTAGGTCATTTCGGGACTAACATATGGTTCAATTTTATTTCCATAATTCGATTGCGCGTAGGGGTCTTTAGCAGTGGGAGGAAACCGGAGGACCCGGAGAAAACCCACGAGGTTGGACAGGCGAGGCTGACAATTAAAGTGTTACCTAGACATTCCGTGTATACTTTGGCAGTTATAATTTGAACAAAAGCTGTTGCCTCAGCAAAATGACCTACCTAAGTAAAGTGGTGAGGCTTTAATTAAACCCCTTTCTATTTACCTTGGAGTTGAGGCATCTTAATTAGAGTTAATAATATTAATAATATTAAAATGAAAGACTTTAATGAAGGCTCAGAGTATTAATATCACATATACAATGAAAGACTTTTAATTAAATGAGTATAAATTGAATTATTGACAAGGTTTAATAAGAAAAAATACACAAAGCATATTTCAAAATCAGGAAATTTTGAAATGAGAGTCTAAATATTATGCTATCCTTTACTCATGATATCAAGCCTTAACTCACACATAGTATTGGATTTCCAGCAAATTTGTGCAGTAGTAGTTTGACATGTTTTACAGCTAGTATCTATTCCACATAGCTAATTACCACTTTCTATAATTTTAATGCCTCAATGCTAGTCATTAAATTATTCTTCAGTAACTAACATGTTTAAAGAAACAAAAAAGATGTCAATAGAAAGTAATGGGAACTTTAGATAGCTGTAATTTACGTTGGGAATCTCCGAACCAATATGCTTTTTAATAAAGACTACTTTTTAATGTGTATGATCAATAGAGCAGAGCTTCGGAATCAAAATTATTAAAGAATGTCTGATCAACAATATCACTAGAGAACAAGTTTAATTCTAGTTTCTAAATGTAGCAGCTTATATGAAAAACTAAACGTAACCTCCATATTGAGATCAGAATATTCAGAGTTTTCAAAACATAAACAACATACAAAAACATGGTTTGTGTTTTTGTCACAAGAGATGGTATTTGACAATTAAACATACAGTCTCAGTGATAAAATTCAGGCGACAAATGGTTCCGACACATGCACAAAGGGCAACTTTCACTCAAAGATTATGGTTTTTGTGTTTGCAAGACTACAGCTGTTTCATTTTTTTATCGCCAACTTTATGTCATTGTGAAGGCGTTCGCCACCGGATTAAGTTTTAGATTGTCTGGCACTGTCTATTACATCCTGATAATATGTCTAGTCTTGCTAGAGAGACCTGATATGAAGTAATTAATCTTTTAAATCTTGACAATATGTACAGTCTAACATTTCTGGCACGTATTCCTCTATCTGCATTGTTGTTTCCTTAATATCAAACTTGGACTGTATCATACCTGATGCTGTCTTTAATACTTTTAGAGCATCTGCATCTTTATCTGAAAAACACATGGACACGATCACTAATTTATGTACATTTATTATTATTATGGCAGTCTTGTATAGCATTAAATTACAACTAATGTCTTAAAGCCAGATTTAAAGGAAATAGAATATGCATTTTGAAGTATGATTCTTGGTAGGTTGTTTCAAAGTCTTGGCCTATAGACATTTGTTGCGAAATACTTACTGACTGCAATATGTACTGATAAAGCTGTTTTATCCATAGTTAACGACCATACACGGAGATTATGTATATCTTTTACCCCTTCTACCTCATAAAATGCATCTCTTATGTCTGTAAATATTAGATGACGTGGAGTACCTGAAATAAACACAAAAAGAAAATCATATGATCGTATGCATAAAAAAAATACTTTTTAAATTATTTATCTGTCAGCTGTGCAGCCATTAATTTTTACTATGAATAACTAGTGATGTTCTGATTATCAGTTTCACATCGGCTGATAAGTGGCTTATAGTTATATCGCTTCAAAAAGTAATTACCTAAAGTATCATTTTGTAATACTATATATACTGTAGAGTTTATTTAAGTTCTCTAAAAGATGTACTGTTTAACCCTTAACCGGTCATTGTCGACTATAGTCACCACAACGTTATACAGCTAAGTGGTCACGGTCGACCACAACAAGAACCTTTTTTTATAAGTCGCATTTGAGTATTTAGTTTTGTATTTAATTGATATGGCCACGCATGCGTTTCAGACAGGAACTTGTCTAGTCAAGGGCATTGAGAAAAACATGTCTTTGTTCAACATTTTTTGACGAAAAACGTAATTTAACGATGTCGGGAACGTTAAAGACGCTCGAAGTGGTTGAAATTCTTATGAAATATTCTGACTCGGATTATATCGATGACACCGATTCTGAAGACGATATTTCTGATGAAAAAAATATAGAATGATTTGCAAATTATAGATCAACTTATCCCCTTCAACTTTTTTATAGGTGTCAAGAGTCTATCACTTATAATTATTCGGCAATAGTCGATTGAAATAGGCATACAAAATATTTCACGTCAGCCTTTATTTAGCCTGACCACTTGACGTCATGACGTCAAAATGACGTTGACCGGTTAAGGGTTAATATATTGAAGTGGTTAAACAAATGGGGTGTTAAATGATATCCTCTTATGTTACTGATGTCCCTGCCATCATTAGAAAAGTGGACACCCGTTATCCGCTCCTCCTTCTTGGTGCCAATATTAGAACATTGTATTAAATCCAGGGTAACTTCTGGCCAATTTCCCGGGGGTCCATACATGACTCATGCACGTGTCCTCCTTATAAGGAACATGCAGGGTTTAAGTTTCTTCAGACATCATTTTGAGATCCTAGGAGAGACATTGTTGAGAGTTCCTAGGGGAACGTCATACCCACAGCCTCCTCGGCTTACAGGCTGAGGGAGATCATCATGTAGATTTAGAAAGAAGAGTGTAATGCTGCAAAACCCAAGCTAGGGGATAGAGTACCTATATTTAATGCCATAGCTGTGTGTGTAGTTTCCTGCATATAACCATTGTATTATGGATGTTATAAAGATATAAAAATATAGTTAAACCAACAAAGTGTTCTAGAGTCAATTGATACTTGAAGTTTTATATGCACTGTGAAAGTCCTGACTAGATAAGTGTCACTCTAGTGTCACGGGCCATTTTTTGGAAGTTTCTGATTAGGTATTCACATCTGTGCCGTAGTTTCACAGTTTGAGTTGTGAGTTGCTTGGCACTCGATCCTTTTATTTCAGTTTCCATACACGGGACAGTAAAATCGATAGTACCCACATCGGCACATCACTATGAATAACTATTCAAATTTTGCTTCCCAATTCTGTATGTGTGCAATGTGAAATCAGAATTTTGATCAAACAGCATTTGTGTGTACTCTTGTGCAAATTCCAACTGTCAAGCATTCTTTTATGTGTACTTAAATCCCAACGATTAAGCCCACTTTCCTGACTTAATATGACTTAATATATTAAAAACCAGAAGTATATTCTGTAATATGGTGATAGTCATTACTATCACAAACATAGAAAATATGTCGTTTACTCACCTTCCATGAGAACTACCAGTATATCACGCAATATCGTGATAGTTGTTACTATCACAAATATAGAAAATAAAAATGTACAAATAGGATCAGCCATCTTCCATTCAGGCTAAAAAATAATAATTAATGAAAAATAATGAAACAGTACATATAATTTTAAAGTTGAAACTACTTTACTTATGAACATATATTTTCTATGGTCACCAGCTTATTCAGACTCATTCTAATATAGCTGATGTAATAATAAAATTGGACCTGGTGACCTGAAGACTATCTGTTAATTTGTCAAGTAAACTGAAGCTTATCTGTTAATCTGTCAAGTGACCTGAAGACTATCTGTTAATTTATCAAGTGACCTGAAGTCTATTTGTTATCTGTCAAGTAAACTTAAGTCTATCTGTTATCTGTCAAGTAAACTGAAGTCTATCTGTTAATCTGTCAAGTAAACTGAAGACTATCTGTTATCTGTCAAGTGACCTGAAGACTATCTGTTAATCTGTCAACAACTCACCTTAAAATAAATAATTAATGCAGCTATTAAAACTCCAATACTCTGACATAAATCACCAATCACATGTACAAATGCTGCTTTTACATTGATGTTGCTATGACGATGTTTACTCTCATCTGCATTTTTAAACCTTACGTAATCTCCATTAGCCTCTTCATCCATACTACCATAGCGTCCACGAATCTCCTCTTGAGAACTGTGAACATGATCGTCATGGTGACCATTGTTTATAGATTTGTTACCATGTGAATGGTTGTTATGAGAATGCTTTGTATTATGAGAATGGCCTCCACCCAAGTGACTATGGGTATGTCCTCCCTGATGAAGTGTAAAACCCAACCTAAAAAGTAAAAATAATAATATAAAGAACTAAAAGTTTTAAAAAAATTACAGGAATATATACAAATGATCTAAAAACAAATTGACAAATATTTTTGGAAACAACAATTGTTTTGCATTCAGTACGACAGTAGGTAGAAACTTAATTAAAACTTTAAACTTAATTTAAACAAGCCAATCATGATAAATCATGTGGATGTTCTCCTAGTTAGTACTAAAATTAACTAACTGTATCACACTAAATCAAAGTATATCACTATTGAGTGATTTGAATTGGCAATGAACATCCCAAATGAATTGGGAAATCAACACCTTGATACAGCAGTTCAGTGTGAAAAAATAATATTGAGGAGTATGGCAAGTTATTTTAACTATTGATTAAGCAACCGCATATCCCCTATTATCTGCCATGCTTTGACCATAAAAGAGTCGCTGCAAACAGGTCAATAGCCCTTTTCATTGAGAGAATAAAAATGGATAAAAATGGTCAACCATACTTACGCTAAATTAAAGGCTACACCACAAGATGCAGTAATTAACATCACTGTAGCGTCTATTTCATATGACTTGTCTATTATACGGTTAACAGCAGAGTAGACCAATATACCCGTCAAAACCCATAACATCAATATTGATATTAAAGCTCCAAGAATTTCTGAAAAACACAAAACATCAAATTCATTTTTAATACAGGTGGCTACAACGGGGCATTTTTTTTAGATATAAGTGATCCAACCTTTTGTTTAAAAAAATAAATATACAGTTGTTGGTTTAAAATACCAGATTGCAATTGCCTTACTAATATTTACAAAACTATATTAGGTTTATATATAAATTCTTCTCCGCGGCTAATTAAAGTCTAAAGTCTATTATTTCACTAGATCCTTCAGCCACACCCCACCAAATCATTTCCCACTGAAGACAATTCTACCATGAGCCTCTCAACTTCTTTTATTCTACTCCCTTATGCCATGTGACATTAAAACTTAAAAGACTTACCTACTCTGTACCAGCCAAAGCTGAGTTTTTTTGTTGCTCTACGACTGGCAAGATAGAGAGCCAGCAGACTTATCATAAAACTAGCAAAATCTGTCAATAGATGGGCTGCATCAGATATTATAGCTAAACTATGGGCAATCAAACCTCCTGTAAAATATGTATTAATAGAATATGGTAACAGTCTGACTCATAAAATCAAAACATGATTAATAATTGTGAAAGGTATATATATGACGGGTGTCCCAAATGTTTCTGGCCTCCCCATGAATGGATAGCCGAAACTCAATCAATCCACCTGCTCATGTTGCTAAAAGATTATCTCAGTATGTGCTGGATATTAACATCATCAATTCTACATGCTATAATTTCCTATATACAGCTGTCAATCATCATGACCCTTTCATTTGATCACAAAATGGAGAAACGTGAATGGCTGTGATTAAATGAAATGAAATGAAATGAGGTTTAACGTCCTACTGTTCTGCTCCTATACTGGGCTAATGAAGACGAGCATACACCATACAGTGTGCTATGAGGGAAATTTTGCCCGGGCAGCGGCACTATCGCCTACTCTTAAATCGAATTCCAACTGCCAAGGGATCTTTTACGTGCATTCCAATGTATACACAGGACCTCAGTTTTTCGTCTCATCCGAAAGACTAGACAGCTGTCCTTGTCAGGCCCTCCATCCTGCATCACTGGGCTGTGATTAAGTATCTTCATTTAAAATGTTAACTCGAATTTAAAGCAAATTCATGATGACATGACTAAAACAATAGGTGACAATTCTCCTTCGTATAGTACAAACAAACAGCGGTGTTCTCGCCTGAAGATGAACCATGGTCTGGTCGCCCTTATGAAGTGACCGTTCAAGATAAAATTGATGTGGTTCTCAACACAATAATGCTGAACATCAGTTGAATGAACAAGCTTAATCCATGAAAATTTGGACATGGACAAAATGTCTGACCGTTGGGTGCTCAGAATGTTGACAGAGGAATATCAGTGATCCACATGCTTTAATCACGTTGTTACTCAGGATTAAACCTGGGTTCATCACTTTGACCCAAGACAAAAATTCAAAGTATGCAGTGAAGAAAGCATGTGACATCACCAATGTCCAAAAGGTTTGAAAGAATATCTTCCACTGGTAATTAGATCATGGCCTCAGTTTTCTAGGGCTTCGAGGTCATAATCATGATAGATTATCTAAAGACAGGTTCCACCATAAATGGCGCTTATATTATGCAGAGGAATTGCACAGGTAGCTTGATCAAATCAAAGAAAAGCACTGAGGTAAACTTTACACAGGTGTCTAGCTGCTCCAGGACAATGGTCCAGTTCACACTGGACAAGTAGCAATGAGTGCAGGACTGTGGCTTCAAGATCCTCCCTCACTAAGTCTATTCTTCAGATCTAACTCTCTCTGTCTGGCTTCTAGAATATGTTTTCAGGTGCTGCATATTTGGGACGGATAAATCACTGCTGTGAAGGTAGTTTTGGGGTAACGTGATAAACAGTGGTTTTCTGACGGGTTAAATATACTGGAAAAACTGTGGAACAAGTGCACTGATATCAAAGGGAATTATGTTGAAAAATAAGTATATAACAATAACAATTTTTATATAGTTCCCATATTACTTCTTAGGGAGACTGGAACTTATGTGACACCTCTCATAGATTCTGCCAGGATTCAAACCTGTGACCATCATTATGCAAGATGTATATACAATCAGCCATACATGTATGGATGCCCTACTGGCCGAGTGTGGAAAACATATTTGTCAGCTATGTGGGCACCCCACTGGCAATACAGAATACACAATCAGTATTAAATGGCTTCACTTACTCTCATACAAACACATATAAATAACCTGTTAAAGTATTTACAATCTTACTTACCGGCCATCTCTCCCACCATGAATATAAGACAAAGTAGACTGGCAATAATAAGTTTTGTTCGTGCTTTTTTATCAATCTCTGATCGTTCTGATGCATCGTGGCAATGACTGCCTAAAAATATAATCATAACATTTAATATTTTAAAATCTGCAAAATCAGTATCGTATGGTAACTTAAAGGACAATATTGATGTCATATAATTTTAACACAGAGATCATTGCTACGATAGATGCGTAATGAAGATTTCAAGAAACGAAAGTGACGAAAGGAAAACACAAGTTATCCTTCAATATAACTGACTGAAGTGACAAGTGATATAACAGATACACGGGCGAATTTCTGCTCACCAATAATTCCTTGGAAGACCAAAAGTTGTTTTATGACTATGAGATTGTGGAAGGATATCTGACAATTCAAAAGATAGGATGCCAGGCAACGAAACCAAATTCTGTGACATTGTGAAAGTGTGATGTTAAAATCATGTGGCAATATGTGATTAAAAGAAAGTAGAGTAATAATAGTTACTGTTAGAATCTGTTAAATCAGGATTGGTATTATCAGCTTGATGAGATTGCTGCAATTCTACAGATCTGTAAAATAGAACAATATTCATACTATCGCAATATGAAACAAATCATCATTTAAGTCAAGATTTAGAATATACATTTCAATTATTTCCTCTGTGTTGGAATATATTATCATATAGGTAAAGGTTTAAGCCAGAAAGTAGGAAATTATTTCTCATCAAGATTCAGGACTGGATACTGACAGTCTGAGTAATTCCACTGTCTACCATTATAAACATGCACTTCAAGTTTCATCAAAATCAGATGAAAATTGTGACCTCTACTGGCTTTATAGTGTCTACAAGCTAAAAACGTGATTTTTACTACAATCAGGGGCCATAATCCATGAAGTTATGGTCTGATACATGCCAATATCGATAGGCACCAAGAACTTTTGGAAATAGACCTATATTTTAAGTTTCATCAAAATCTAACAAAAAAAATTGAGACATCCAGAGGGTCCACAGCCTTCGTATCAACCTTGTTGAGCAGTTTAGGTCCGATATTCACAAAATTCGAACTCAACCATCATTAGGGTGTAACAGGGATACCTTTAAACGTATTTTAAAATTTGATAAAAATTGTGACCTCTATTTGTCCACAAGCTAAAAACGCGATTTTTCGTACAATCAGGGGCCATAATCCAGGAAGTTACGGCCCAATATGCGCGAAAGGAAACAAGATCTTTGGGTTATAAACATGCATTTCAAATTTCATCAAAATCAGATGCAAATTGTGACCTTTAGAGTGTCCGCAAGCTAAAAACGCGAGTTTTCGTACAATCAGAGGTCACAATTCATGAAGTTATAGTCCAATACATGCCAATATCAAAAGGAACTGTTAAAATCAGATAAAATTGTGACCTGTAGAGTACCGGTATCCACAAACAAATTGTGAACGGACGGACAGGGGCGACAGCATAATACGTCCACATCAAAATGTGGGCGTATAAAAATGACAAGAAAGGGAACTCTGTGTTTGAAACATACAATTTTGAAATTTGATAGGATTCTCCCTTATGTCCCAATCAACAGTCCACCAAGAACTCTGTTCATAGTTCACAAGGTATAAGAAGGGGATTTTTGATGTTATTTACTATGCTAACAAATATACAGACGAACTTAGATGATGACAATATATGCGTCCACATTTAATGTGTGTGTAGAGATTGTGATAGAGATAATTAATTAAATGACACTCTATACAATAGTTACAGTACGACATTGGTAACCAGATTTAAAATGATAGATAACCACCCAAAAATGCCCAAGGATTCTAAAAAAGAAAACCTCATGAATACAGAATCTTGTTATCAGTATCAATGGGTGTGGGTGGAGATATATTTAGAAACTGTGTTTAAAATTGATCATTAGAAACACAAGTTGAACAATAATAGTGAAATATGATGTTGAAATAAGATGAAACTAGGATTGTCTATAAATAATGTATCATTATAATTGGACTATAACATAAACAGATTAAAATCATATTTGACCTTTGTCAAGTTTGTATCATTTGTATTATATACTGAATGATAGTCCCTTCCTTAAAAAGGTGTTAACACAATAAGTCTCAACAACTCGATTATATACAGGTCACAATTACTTGATAATGACTAGAGAAGGCTAGTTAAAACATCGCTCAGTAATAAGCAGTAATTGTATTCCATAGAATTGTGACACCTGTATATTCCAGTTCAATTACTAAATGCCATTGAAACAACTCTGATTATGTCTGAAGATGATTATTTGATAAGAAAACATAAACTTCATTTTCTTTTTTTCTGCGATCATCAGTTTTTTTTACAAGAATATATGTATGTGCTTGGTTTACTAACCTGTCAGCCATACTGTAATATTACTAAAAGATATATGTCTTTTAAGTATTTGATGTCAAATATAAAAAAAATATCTTGTTTCTTCTGAATACTTGTCAAAAATCAAACCTCTTTTTCAAAATACAAAAATGTCCAGTATTCTTTATGTTAACATCTTTATCTAAATAGCATAAGAATATATTACACTATATTCCTTCCACAGAAATCAAGTTAAACAGTGAATGCTTGACCCAATAGTCCTTCCCCAGAAATCAAGTCTAGCACTGAATGCTTGATCCAATAGTCCTTTCACAGAAATCAAGCCTGACACTGAATGCTTAACCCAATAGTCCTTCCAAAAATAATGTACTGAATGCTTGACCCAATAGTCCTTTCACAGAAATGCTTAACCCAATAGTCCTTCCCAAAATAATCTATTGAATGCTTGACCCAATAGTCCTTTCACAGAAATCATACACAGAAGCCTATAGCCCACCAACTGGTAAATTGTTTGTTTTAGTACATACTCAAATCCTGGTACTGAAATTAATCTTTGCAAAAATATTAACTGAAATTCTGGTAAAGTCTCCAATATTAAATGAAATCCTGGTAAAATCAACTAAAAAAAAAAAAACTGTTAAAAATTTTTCTTAAAACTAAATTCTGGTCAACTTAATAAACCATAGTTATATAAACATTACTTAATTAACCTCTGGTGGGTATAAAATCCAAAATCGACCTCGATCAGTTTGTCTCAAAAAATAGCACAGTTTTCTGTTTGAGAAATATTTGGTTTGTCAACTATTTGCCAGGATTTTAAATGAAAAGCAGCATCAATACAGTATTTCAATGTGGGAGCATAAAGACAGCATTTTGCTCTGATTCAAAATACCTATAGCTATATTTAATTTAAGTTTTTGAGACAAACTAATTTTGGATTTTGTGTTAGGATTTTTGGATTTTATATTCACCGCTCAAATTCAGGTAAACATTATACTCAAATAAATCCACAATATACTACTGTTCAAAATTCAAATAAATGCAAAATATTCCCAGTTTATATGAACTGAACTGTTTTCCACTGTATAAGACCATCTATTCTTTAATCCAATCAAAAGTCCTTTAACTTCCATCACACTTTATTAATCCAATTGGAAATCATTTCACATGCAATTCTATTTATCTACGTACAACAAGAGGCCCTACAGGTTTTTATTGGCCACTGAGTAGATCTACATGTTACATGAATTTCTACAGTATTAATATATTTTATCAATGTTGCCAAGAAAGTTTACAAAATTTTTTCTTAAAAATAAACAAGAACATAGATTGTGGAGTGCCGAACCGGCAAATTTAGCGGCACTATTCCTTTCCAAAATAACACCGCTCACTAGATTAGATCCACATTCACCATTCAAAACACCTTTTTAACTAAAAAATGGTTGATTACTTTACATCCGACATTTTAAACATAACTTGTTGTTTTCTTCACAATTGAACTATCGGTATTTGACTACTGGTAACATGGTAAATCATACCTTCAGGCACTATTTTAAACCAGTCAACATATTTATGTACTAAGATTTTTAGTTAGATATAAAATGAATTGTGACGTACATATTTGGGATTAAAACCAGATAATAATAATATATTTAATGGGGCAGGGACTGTTTGATTTAAAGAGAAACTTCTAGAGTATCAAACTGAATTTTTGGTATTCGTTATTTGGTGCTAATGAAAGTTAATCTAAAGATGCATTATGTAATAAGGTATAGATAAAGAGCTGGCCTCCCCATTCTTGTTCTTATAGTTTGAAAATAGATATTGAAAAATATATCTATTGAAAATTTCAGTCAAATTACTTTATTTTTAGCAAAGTTATAAATGTTTAATGTTTTGATTAAGTAGTCTTGATTGTTAAGTACCATTGCTACGATAATATATGATTATGTAATGTTTAACCAAGATATGGTGGAAATCCACTTAATATCTTAGCCATCCAGTTGTCTAGAGAGTTGATTATGGATATTTCATGGGATGATAATTTATATATCATCTGAAGCCAGAAAAAAGATCTGCAATAGGCAAATTTAGCTCTTAGTCTTTGTATTGTATATTCAAATATGGGAAATATTTAATAATTCAATGAAATCAACTTATGTTGAGAATTAAATACACATCAACTTATATATTCTTCATACAAAGCTATGATCAAACACATGAGATGCATAAAAAACAGACATTGTAATCCTCAGTATATGAGTTGGACCACTACAAAATTAAACAAATCTGACCCATAAAAGATATTAATGCAGGTCATTATTAATTAACAGTGGGAGAAAACCAGAAGCTGCAAAAACAGAACAGAAAACCTCAATGAAAGTGTTGTTTTATTTAAGTTTTCTGTATAGGTAATACATCTTTAAATTAACACTTTTTCTTTTCATCCTGAATGAGGCCAAGCAACTTTAAAAGATATAAAAGATCAAACAGACCACATGGAGATGTCACACACTAATTATAAAAATACTATACAGACATGTTGCTTTAATTAATCCAAATTTTCTGTCCTTTCAGGTATCTAAATCTATATCCCTGTTATTGTCATTAATTAGTAGTGTACAGGTTTTTCATTCATAAAATTTCACAAGTCAGTGGGCCAAAATACCGGAACAAATTTGACTAATTTTCACTATTTTTTGTGTGGCCTATCGATTACATGTAAAAAGTGACATGATTGTTATCTAGACGCTACTACAGGTGCCAGTTTGGAAACTTAATAATAAACATACATTTTGAGTTTCATCAACATCAGATAAAAATTGTGACCTCCAGAGGGACCACAACCTAAAACATAATCCAGGAAGTTACGGTCCGATAAACGCGAATATCAAAAGGAACCAAGATCTTGAGTTATGAGGATCTACAACCTTGGTACCACTACTTTTACACTATTTGCGTACGAGGAACAGCCATTTTGGAGGGACCACAAGCTAAAAACGTGATTTTTCATACAATCAGGAGCACATAATCCAGGAAGTTAACCTATTATCGAAAGGAACCAAGATCTTTGAGATATAAACCTAAATTTCATCAAAATCGGATAAAAACTGTGACCTGTAGAGTGGCCACAAACAAAATGCGAACATAGACACGGACCCACCGATAGACGACGGACAGGGGCGACGATAATATACATCCATATTAA